AAAATCCAAAGTTAGATGGTTAGGATAATATTAGAAGAGCAGGAAATGAAACATTGGTTCATTCAAATGTTACAATAGGCCAAGAAAGAAGAAAGAGACGTGGAAGACCCAGATCAGGATGACTGAGAGAAGTGAAAGATCTACGCAAGGCAGGAGTGAATGATTGGCAAGAAAAAGTATAAGATAGAGAAAGAGTAGGATATTGTAACGAGAAGTATCTAAGATACTGAGTCTGAGTCACCTAAAATATGGATCTCGAGAGTGAACAGCAGCTTATCCCGAAACCTAAAATTAAAGGCATTCTTAAAGAGAAAAAGTGATGGCTATAAACCAAAAAAAGCCAATGTCCTATCGCAACAAGAAATAAATAATTTCATAGAAACTCCAGATGAATTATATTTATTTACAAAGGTGAGCAAGTTTAATATCTATTATTTTGTTCAATGTGTGAGTCTCTTTTATTATTTAAGGTTGTACTTATCCTTGGAATATGAGGAGCATGCCGAAAGCAGGAGCTCACACAGTTGACTATAAACGATATAGAGGATTTGGGTACAGCAGCTGTGATAAAAATAGATAACACAAAAACCAAGTATCCAGAAAATTCACGATTACTGGACCGTTTTATACCATATTTAAAAAATATGCCAATCTTAGGCCACCAACCACTCAACTAAGGTTTTTTCTTAATTATAAAAATAAAAAATGCACCCAACAAGTAGAGGGTATAAACAAAATAGGCACTGTGCCAAAGGTGATGGCAAAGTTTTTAAATCTTCCGAATTCATAACAATATACTGGCCACACCTTTAGGCGTTCTTCTGCAACAATTTTGGGAGATGAAGGAGCAGATATTGCTGCATTAAAGCGCCACGGGGGATGGAAATCCTTTACTGTGTCCGAACAGTACATAGATGACTCTGCAACTAATAGATTAATGACTGCTAATAAAATAATGAACACCATTCGCAGCACAAACACATTAAACAATACTCTGAACAAAATACTGAATCTACACAACCCAGATACTGTGCAAGTTTGTGTACTTCATCTATACAGCAACAAATTAATGTAGATCCACAAGAGACAATAAGCACATATATTAGGGAAACCACTGAGAATAATAATAATGCAACATTACAAAATTAACTGCAATTTAGTAAATGTTATAATAACAATTTTACTATTAACTTTTATAACGTCCCAGAAAAAAAGTAAGACAAAATTATTAATAATTATTCAGTTTATACAGTTTAGTTACAAACATTTCCTAATTAATATATTAGTTATCTCTAGGTTAGTTACAAATATTTTTTATCCATTTCATTAGTTATCTCTACTTTAGATGTAAATTTTTATAAACTATTCTGTTAGTATCTCTGTTTTATTTATAAATGTTTCTTATTGTTCTGCTTTAGTTATAAATATTTTTTAAACATTGTATTAGTTCTTGTCATTTCTACTGTTACAAAATGAAAAATATTTTGGAGGATTTTTTTACTTTTCAACCCATGTGTTAATATTTTTTTCAACACATGTGTGATATACTTTTCAGTACATGTGTGATATGGTTTAATTGACTTTCTCATTTAAAAAAGACGTTTTTTTTAAGGATTTTTTTTGTGGTCGTAGGAAAAATAGTGTACACAACTCGTTGGAAAGCGTGTTTCTCGCACTACGCGGCTCGTGCTAAACTTCAACTCATGCGAAATGTTGTACTTTCTACACTTGTTATGTAATATACTATTTTGGATTGAGATATAGAGATAATTGTTAGAGTATAAATTAATAGCTCATATGCGTCCAAAAACAGGGGAAGTGGTATCCGTCAATTTTGTTTGAAACCACATTTTTTGTTAAAAAAAAATGTTTTCTGGACTATACACATTAGCATAGTGGGATAATTAGTCAAATAGTCCAGGATTCGTAAATAAGGTCGATTTACTGGATAAAAGTTTTTTTTTATTAGATAAAATATGTTTTTAAATATACCGCAAATGGGTTGCCTAAGAAAATACGGTCACGGCCATTTTTTGCTTTTATTTCTGTGTACAGATAAGGAAAGTATAGGAATTATGATTTAAGTTGCTTATGATGTCATTCTCTATTATTTTGCCTCTATACATGATTTCCCCAAAATGGACCTAATTGAGATATTTGAGGAATGTGCAAATTTCGAATTTTGAAGACAACTCTAAAACGGATAAAGAGAAAAACACCAAATCTTAAACTTAAGCTTTAATCTATCCTGTAGTGAGCTGATTAAAGTCTGGGCATAGTAAAAGCATCTGGGGAATACTTTACAGGGTGTCGTTTTTTTATTTTAAGAAATAAATAGTCTGGACCACAGCTTCTTAGGCAACCCTTTTGCGATATATTTATAAACATATTTTTTTTAATAAAAAGAAACTTTCATCCAGTAAACAGATGGGTGAAGGTCGACCTTATTTACGGATCCTGGACTATAATTATTATTTCAAATAAAACTTGACATTATCTGAGCGAAAACAGGGAAATCACCCTATCGCTAGTGTTTTGGGTGCTCAGCTACAAATTCTTGGGTCATAATTACAAATGGTGGAGATGGTGGGAGGCGGGGTGCTAAGATGATTAGTGCCTTATCGGCTTCAAAAAGTTAATCCAGGCCTACTTCTAAGGAAAATTGAAAAATAAATGGTATTAACTTTGGAATCGCCCTATATTTTGCAAATCCCATTTCCGACCGAACCCAATACGTTTAGATTTTTTTAATATAACATCGCGACACAAAAGCACGTTTCAAATAAATCTATAATACTTTCATATCGAATCAAATACGTTTTGACCTATTATATGAAATATTTAATATCGGAGGTTATTTTTCCGCTCGAAAAGAAAAAAAATCGTCGTTATCGTTCGCAACATCGAGCTCTAATCTCGGCGACCGTTGCGCTCGCGACGCGTTCTCTTTCAGGTCACGTGACCGACGCAAGTCGGTCACTTAATCTGCTATTTATGTGACTTTGGGGTAGAGGCACACGTCCGACTGTAATGCCTGCCTGCCCTTCGTTTTCTGGTCGAAGCCCTGCGCTGAATCCGCAATAGTAGCGCTGCGAAAAGGCTAATGTCTGGATTAAATTTACACTTCCGATAATCTCACCTAAGTGTGGGATACAAATCGGATGTACGGTCAGGACAAAGGGATCTATTTGATGAATGTAGTTAAACTTATATGTGGTAAAAGATCAGGTTAAGTACAATGATTATTTATTTTATACACGTATTGCGGTATTTACCACCATTAATTTTCTTCCAACAGGAAAATCACAGGAGTGCAGAATGTGAATTAGAAATATTTAGAATATGTGCTCGAACTGACCTATTCCTTGAATTGTTAATACCGACTAACCCCATAAAAAAATATATTTCAATAATTCAAACCGCATTAAAAAACCGAATATAAAGATACTACAAATAAATGTGGACAGAGGTAGGGGAGCCACATACCTAGTTTATAAGATTGCGACAGAAAAAAACGTGGACATAATAATAATGGCTGAACCAAACAAGAAAAAGATCACTAAACCGAAATGGCTTTTGGATAATAAAGGCGACGTGACTATAAATGTATGCAGTAAACACATACAAATATTACAAAGAGGGATAGGAAATGGTTTTGGATGGATTGAAACTACTAAGATGGTAATATATGGATGCTATATATCTCCGAATGTCGATAGATCAAAAATATCAGATTTCTTGAACGCACTTAAAAATGATATGAAACAACATAAGAAGTAAATTGTGGTAGGTGGGGACTTTAATGAAAAAATAATATCTGTGTGTTCAAAGATAGAAGATAATAAGGGAGAAATCCTGGCGAAATGGTTAGCAGAAGATGATCTAATTGTCCACAATCAAGGTGATATACCAACATTCATAAGAAGAGGGAGTGATTCATACATAGACATTACTTTTAGCACGAAAAATATTGCCAAGTACTTAAAAAACTGGAAAGTCCTCGAGGAAGAAAGTCTCAGCTATTATCAACATACTGGGTCATATGATTGAACGTTTACGTTATCCGTAACGTACATGTTAGGCAGAGTTTTAACAGTAACAAGGCAAGTTCGTACGATGGAAAACTTTTTCCAACACATTACTGTTATTTTCCGCCTGTTATGTTCTAATTTAACAGGTTTCCATCATAAGAACTTGCCTCGTTACTTTTAAAATTTGGCCTAACATTTACGTTACGGATAACGTAAACGTTCAATCATAGGACCCATTGTCAGTTATAATATCACAAGAGCATAGAAAATATTCGAATATACTTCCGAATCACGAGACGTATTCTGCGAAACACGACAGCGTAGCTGGAGTGGTGTTTTAAGGATATACGTCGAGTGACGAGGTTAGTATAGTCGAATATTTTCGTTTGCTCGAGTGATATTCGATACGATTATATAAAGAGTGAATTAAGGAACTTTTTTTATTGGTTAAGTAGTATTGAAATGAAAAGTACAATTATTATCATAAATATTATTTGTTGTATTATCTTTAGATGTTGAATTTGAAGTGGTGCTGTTGATACTAGAATTGGCAGAATCTTGCTTGTTTCTCATTTTCTCAAGTATCTTTTCATGGTGTTCATTAGTAAGTTTTAGATATGGCTTGAGAGATTCAGATGACCTGTTATCTTAATAATTTCTTGCAAGTTTGCTCCAGATTGTGTCAAGATGCTAACAGCAGAAGATCGATTCAAATGATTTGATATTTTTTGCTTCTTTGTATCAAGTCCAATAATTTCTGCCGCAGCACGTGTCCATTTACTTAAATGATTGAGGCCAGTTTTTATACCATATTCCAGTTTTCTGCCATTCAGTATTAGGTGTTGAAAATAGACGTCTGGTTTTAATGTTTTGTGTTCTCTTGCTTAGCATTTTCTTCAACAGACGTACTGGGCACTTATCTTCACACATTTTATTTGGTGTTAACCATTTAGAATCAGCCGTACGTTTTTAGCCACCTTGCGCTGTCTTTGAAAACATGGTATTGTACTCAATACGTCCTGTGGGTTGACCGTAATTGTCAAATTCAAAAACGACGCCACTGAATAGATTTATTTGTCGGTTAAACTCTTCATAAAACTTTTTCTGGACAAGTTTAGCGGTAGTATTCCAAATTGTTTTCACCGTACCTTCTTTGTATTCGGTGCCGTCTGCACGTTTCATGTTGAATGCCCAATCTTTCAAAATACTTGCTAATCGTTCGTCAGAAGTTTGAGCACAAAGTTGATAATTTCGCCGTTCACAAAATTCGGTGAACTGTTTCCAAACATATTTATGTGTTTTTACGGTATTTTGGGGTGTTAGATTCTCGATTTTTTCCTCTATTTCTATCCCAGAGCTGCTACCAAAGCGTTTCATGTCGAAACAATTCAAAAACTTTGAAGAAAATTGATGTTTTTTTTTGACGTTTATCAACAAACTTCAAAACAATTGTTGCCATGACAAAATTCACATTGTTGGAGGAGGCGAAACACCAAAGTGATTATATCACGTCGTCAAAGGTGTTTTCGCTCATTAATACGCAGTAACAATGTAAAATCTGTAATATCTATTGGCTAAATTTCTGATGAGTTATATAATCTATCAAATACAAACAACGGGGAAAATGGAATAATCACAAACAAAACAGGGTTGGCGAGTGAAGAAAGACAAACTACATAAACTGCCCGAGGAAGTGGATAAGATACTCAGAACCAAAGATGAATTAATGAATGAGTCAACATGTAATATAGTATTTCCAAAGACATATAAATACTGTAGGAAACCGGTATATTGGTGGTGTGAGGATGTGGCAGAGAAAAGAGCTGTCTGAAGAATAAAAGAGCTATGGTAAAGGCAAATAAACGAGATGACGATAGAACAAAAATCGTGCATCAAGAACAGTATAGGCGAAGCAGAGCCGTTCTAAAGAAAGCGATATATGAGGCTAAGAAAAAGCTTGGAAGACTCTAATAGAAGAAGTAGATAATGACGTATGGGAAAAAAGTTATCAGATCGTCACGAACAAACTAAAATCCGCAGCACCCATGAATTTAGCGGAAGAGATTCAAATGGAAATAGCCAAGAAACTATTTCCTATAAACCCGGAGATAGTATGGATGAGGCTTCCTGTGAATGACGACGAAATCATCACGTTCAGCAAGGATAAACTCTTAGTAGCAGCCTTAAAAATCAAGAATAAGAAAGCCGCAGGACCTGACGAAATACCACCGGAAGTGGAAGACAATTTTAAGAGACCACTCAGGGAGATGTCTGAAAGTATTCAACCACTACTTTCAGAGAGGGAAATTTTCAAGACAATGGAAAATAACAAGGTTAGTGCTATTAGAAAAAGAGAAACCGGGACAACTAAAAAAAGCCTACCGACCAATTTGTGTACTGAACGTACTAGGAAAAGTGCTGGAGCAGCTGTTACTGACCAGGCTAAACTCGAAAATAGAAAGAACGGGACGACTTGCTACTGAACAGCATGGATTCAGAAAGAGTAAATCTACTATTACTGCAAAACATTACATAAAAAAAGTACAAGAGCTAGCTGACACAGCAAACAAAAGGCCCCACAGTGAAAGAAAAATTTGTGCATTAATAATGGTGGATGTCCAGAATGCGTTTAATTCTGCTCCTTGGGGAGGAATACTAGCAGGGTTAAAAAGAAGAGGGGTTGCTAGCCAAATTTACAACATGATAGCAAGTTACCTAGAAGATAGGACGTTAGTAGTAAAAACCAAGGAAATGAAAGTAACATGCGGGGTACCACAGGGACCAGTGATAGGGCCTACCCTCTGGAATATATACTACGACGGAGTGCTTACGATTCCAATGCCTAGCGGGGTAAAGTTAGTGGGATATGTCGATGATCTGACAATTCTGTTTACATCGAAAACTATCATAGACATCGAATGGAAAGCTAACAGAGCTATCAACATCATAACCAGTTGGATGAAAAATAAAGCCTTAATCTCGCCCCACACAAAACAGAAATTGTGATGTTGGTAAGTGGTAGAAAAGAGAAATCAATCTCAATGAAAGTTGAAGATGTTCAATCACAAAGCCAGGAAATGTGCAAATACCTTGGCGTGTATTTTGATAGAAATATGAGAATGGGACAACATATCGGTATGATTGCTGAAAAGGCCACGAAAGCTTTAGCAAATCAGGGAGGACCAAGAGAAAATAACAGAAGAATATTACGTCCAGTGATACAGTCAATAATTCTATACGCTGCAAGCATATGGAAAAGAGCAATTGAGAAGAAAATTTATAGAGACATCCTTCTGAGAGTACAACGAAAAACGGCTATAAGAATAACTAGTGCGTACCGGACAACATCGACAAGTGCGCTACTTCTAATTGTGAGGATGCCGCAAATAAACCTACTTGTGGAAGAACGAATTGTGATTGAAGAAGGTAATGAACCCAAGACCAGCGCTCGAAATAAAATAAGAAAAATTGCAAGGACGTGGCAATAGACGACGGAAAAGCAAACTGGACTAAGAGATTAGTACCACATATAAGACCATGGATGACTAGGAAACACCGAGAAGTAAACTATTTTCTTACTCAAATATTCACAGGACAAGGCGCCTTTCAGGCCTATTTAACACAGCCATTATTATTATGTCCACTAAAAGAAAAGACATGAACGACATTATGAGATGAGCCCAATACATCAAATAACAAAGCGTCTTCTCGAAGTAATGCCAGCAGGTAGTTCCAAGAAGACCTACAATGCTTTAAGGGTGGTTTTAGTGGGTATATCAGCCTTACACTCTTCAGCCGGGAGTCTCACACTACCAGGTACGGGCACGCACGCACGCACGCACGCACGCACGCACGCACGCACGCACGCACGCACGCACGCACGCACGCACGCACGCACGCACGCACACGCACACGCACACGCACACGCACACGCACACGCACACGCACACGCACACGCACACGCACACGCACACGCACACGCACACGCACACGCACACGCACACGCACACGCACACGCACGCACACGCACACGCACACGCACACGCACACGCACAAGCACACGCACACGCACACGCACACGCACACGCACACGCACACGCACACGCACACGCACACGCACACGCACACGCACACGCACACGCACACGCACACGCACACGCACACGCACACGCACACGCACACGCACACGCACACGCACACGCACACGCACACGCACACGCACACGCACACGCACACGCACACGCACACGCACACGCACACGCACACGCACACGCACACGCACACGCACACGCACACGCACACGCACACGCACACGCACACGCACACGCACACGCACACGCACACGCACACGCACACGCACACGCACACGCACACGCACACGCACACGCACACGCACACGCACACGCACACGCACACGCACACGCACACGCACACGCACACGCACACGCACACGCACACGCACACGCACACGCACACGCACACGCACACGCACACGCACACGCACACGCACACGCACACGCACACGCACACGCACACGCACACGCACACGCACACGCACACGCACACGCACACGCACACGCACACGCACACGCACACGCACACGCACACGCACACGCACACGCACACGCACACGCACACGCACACGCACACGCACACGCACACGCACACGCACACGCACACGCACACGCACACGCACACGCACACGCACACGCACACGCACACGCACACGCACACGCACACGCACACGCACACGCACACGCACACGCACACGCACACGCACACGCACACGCACACGCACACGCACACGCACACGCACACGCACACGCACACGCACACGCACACGCACACGCACACGCACACGCACACGCACACGCACACGCACACGCACACGCACACGCACACGCACACGCACACGCACACGCACACGCACACGCACACGCACACGCACACGCACACGCACACGCACACGCACACGCACACGCACACGCACACGCACACGCACACGCACACGCACACGCACACGCACACGCACACGCACACGCACACGCACACGCACACGCACACGCACACGCACACGCACACGCACACGCACACGCACACGCACACGCACACGCACACGCACACGCACACGCACACGCACACGCACACGCACACGCACACGCACACGCACACGCACACGCACACGCACACGCACACGCACACGCACACGCACACGCACACGCACACGCACACGCACACGCACACGCACACGCACACGCACACGCACACGCACACGCACACGCACACGCACACGCACACGCACACGCACACGCACACGCACACGCACACGCACACGCACACGCACACGCACACGCACACGCACACGCACACGCACACGCACACGCACACGCACACGCACACGCACACGCACACGCACACGCACACGCACACGCACACGCACACGCACACGCACACGCACACGCACACGCACACGCACACGCACACGCACACGCACACGCACACGCACACGCACACGCACACGCACACGCACACGCACACGCACACGCACGCACACGCACACGCACACGCACACGCACACGCACACGCACACGCACACGCACACGCACACGCACACGCACACGCACACGCACACGCACACGCACACGCACACGCACACGCACACGCACACGCACACGCACACGCACACGCACACGCACACGCACACGCACACGCACACGCACACGCACACGCACACGCACACGCACACGCACACGCACACGCACACGCACACGCACACGCACACGCACACGCACACGCACACGCACACGCACACGCACACGCACACGCACACGCACACGCACACCCACACCCACACCCACACACACACACACACACACACACACACACACACACACACACACACACACACACACACACACACACACACACACACACACACACACACACACACACACACACACACACACACACACACACACACACACACACACACACACACACACACACACACACACACACACACACACACACACACACACACACACACACACACACACACACACACACACACACACACACACACACACACACACACACACACACACACACACACACACACACACACACACACACACACACACACACACACACACACACACACACACACACACACACACACACACACACACACACACACACACACACACACACACACACACACACACACACACACACACACACACACACACACACACACACACACACACACACACACACACACACACACACACACACACACACACACACACACACACACACACACACACACACACACACACACACACACACACACACACACACACACACACACACACACA